CCTGGGGCTGGTCTGAGCCTTGGTTTCTCAGTAAAAATGGAGGTGATGATCAGTAGTTACAAAGGCCACAGGGTTGGTATGAGCATTGCAGTGGATAAGGAAGATGAACGAATGTAGAAACTGTTATCCAAATGGAAGGTAGCCATGTCAGTTATGCAGGTGGTTAGTGTACAGATGTACTGAAGGACACTGACATTTCCTGGCCTGAAAGATTAGAACGACTGTTCTCCTTGCTCGGATTTGCTGCCCAGTTAATTTACTTTCCCCAGCCCATCACACATCAACACAAGCCAGCCGAGGTATCCATGTACAGAAGGGAGCTGAGAACGAGGGAGTTATCCAGATAATTCAGGCAGAAAGTGTTTTTTTAAAAAAAAATACATGTAGGTATTGTAGCCAAAGTGGCACTGCAGGAGGGGAGATGGGAACAGGCAGGACACTGAGCTGGTGGGGGTGGTGGGGACCCTGTCCTCAGTTTTCCCTTGCCCACCTCTGTCTCTCTCCCTTCAATTTTCTTTCCCCCAGTGTCTCTCGCCTTCTAAATCACTTTGTTTCTCTGAATTTCTCCGGGACTATTACTCATTTTGTCTCTCACTCCTTCTACCTACTTCTCTCTGTCCCTCTGATTCTGTGCCCCCCTCTCTCTCTCTCTGTGCCTCGCTCCTTCTCTTTCCATCTGTTTGGCTCCACTCTGTTCACCTCTGTCCTCCTCTTTCCTTTGTCTGTCTCAACCTCTTTCTTTCTGTCTCTCTCTGTCACTGTCTGTCTGTCTTTCTCTGTTCTCTTCTTTAGGGAGCCTGTGCCTCTCAGACCTGAAAGCTGCTGCCTGCTGTTTTATAGAATCTGTTCCGTTCCTTGGTGACCGGTTTTTTTCCTGTGGTTAGAAAGTAGCTCAGGCCTTAACCCATTTCCTCTGGCGTATCCAAATTAATTAGGTGAGACTGGGATCACACATTTCAGAATTAGAATAATATTTATCAGCCTCCCTGGAGAGAAGAGGATGGAAGATGGAGAGGAATGGGAGCAAGGAGAGGGGTCAGGGAGCTTAGAGTTGGAGGAGGGGGCTAGCAGGGGGGTCACTTCTAACGACACACCCTCTGGGAATTAGAGCCACCTTTCCAGTTGCCAGAGGGCACTGGGAAAGGATGAACCTTGGAGGATGTTCAGACCTGAGGACACACTGACAGCCCAGAGACCAGGCTCTTTCCTCCGGGATGGTCATTTCAGGGTGCTCAGCTCCACTGCTTGGCAGAGCCCATCCCTGCCTCCAGTCTCCATTTGGGCGGCTCAGGAGGCCCTGTCAAACTGGACTGTGTTGAGCCCTCATCTCAGACCCACTTCATCTAGTGCTGTAAGTCAGGGTTCCTTCACCCCTGCCACTGTTGACATTTGGGGCCATGCAATTCTCTGTGCCGGGCTCTCCTGCTGGACATTGCTGTTGTCCAAGGTCGGCATGGAGGATGACTAATGTAGGTTCAGGTTTGGCCTACTGAAAGCAGTGTACTCAACCGCAGGAGTCCCGACAAACTTGGGAGATAAGAAAAAGAAAGAAAGAAAAATAATACAAACCTTTCCTTTTGTAATATTACCTTTATTGATATATATATGTGTGTATATATATATATATTTCACATACCATAATATTTACTCTTAAATTTTAAACTGTACAATTCAGTGATTTTTGTGCATTTAGAATTGTCAAGGTATCAGTCATTACTACCTAATTCTTGAACACATTTGCCTTCCCCAAAAAGAAACCCTACACCTCTTAGCAGTCCCTCTCCATTTCCCCCTCCCCCAGCCCTGGGAATGCAAATCTGCTTTCTCTCTCCATGGATCTGCCCAATCTGGGCATTTTACATAGATGGAATATTTACGATGCGGCCTTCTGTGACTGGCTTTTTTCACTTAGCATGATGCACGATGCATTCAGAGTTTATTCATGTGACAGTGTGTGTCAGTTCATTGTTGCTTTCTAAAGGTCCAACAACAAATAATCCATTATGTGAACACAACATGCTTCGTTTATCTGTTCATCAGTTAAGGTACACGCAGGTTGTTTCCACCTTTTGGCTGTTATTAATAATGCTGGTATAACCCTTCATATACAACGTTTATGGGGACGTATGTTTTTATTTCTCTTGGCTGTATACCTAGGAGTAGAATTGCTAGGCCATATGGTACCTCTATGTTAAACATCTTGAGAGTCTGCTCAACTCGTTACCAAAGGGCCCTCACCATTTCGAGCTCCCTCCAGCAGCTTACAAAGGCTCTGACCTCTCTGTGTCCTTGCCCAGCCCTGCTTACAGCTGTTTCAGTGGGTCTGAGGGCATCTATCATGGGTTCCATGGACATTTTCCTGGTGACCGAAGGTGCTGAACTGCTCTTCATGTTTACATCTTTAGAGAAATGTCTGTGTATATCCTTTGTCTGTTTTTAAATGGGGCTGTTTTTTTATTGTTGGATTTTAAGAGTTCTTTACATATCCTGGATATGTCTCATCAGAAATATAATTTGCAAATATATTTTCCCATTTTATGCGTTATCATTCATTTTCTGATGCAGAAAACCTTATGATGAAGTCCAATTTGTCTTTTTTTCTTTTGTTGTTTGTGCTTTTGGTGTTGTAGCTAAGAAACCATTGCCAAATTTATGCTACAAAGACTTACATTTTTTCCTAAGAGTCTTTAGCTCTAATATTTAGACCGGTGATCTGTTTTAAGTTACTTTTTAGGTAAGGTATGAATGAAGAGTCCAGGTTTATTCTTTTGCTTGTGGATATGCAGTTGTCTAAGCATCATTTGTTGAAGAAATTGTCCTTTACCCACTGAATGATTTTGACACCCCTTTGGAAAACCAGCTGTCCATAGGTATAGATGGGTGTATTTCTGAGCCCTCAGTTCTAGTCCATTGGTCCATATTTCTGTTTTAACTTTTTATTCACTCTGTTCTGACTGTGTAGACATCATAGCAGGAAGGTGTGGTTGATAAACAGGAGGATGGAGGAATCAGGTAACTTGCCTACATGTGTAGTTTTAAAAATAAAATATCACATTTTGAAATTAGAAGACATCTTAGAGGTCATGCTAGTGTAAATCCTTGTTTTGCTAATGAGGGAGAAACATTTAAAATATAATTTTATTTATTTATTTTTGTCCAGTTAACATTGGTTAATAAAAATATGTAGGTTTCAGTTGTACTTTTCTATAAAACATCCTCCACATATTGTGTTGTATATTCACCACCCCAGGTCAAGTCTCCTTCCATCATCATTTCCCCGCCTTTAGCCACATCTTCCTCCCACCCTGTCCCTCTGGTCATCACTGTACTGTGTGCCTATAAGGTGTTTATATATTTTTTGCCTAATCTCTTCATCTTTTTTGCCCAGCCTCTTAACTGTCCTTCCCTCTGATAGCTGTCAGTCTGTTTGTTCTCTTTAATACATTTTACTTTTACAGATTAAGAGATCTGCCCAAAGGCTCATCAGAGGTAGAGCTGGGATGAGAGCCCAAATCTCTTAACCATCAAGGCCATTCCTTTTTCTTTTTCCCAGGCCACGCACCTCAGGTCTGTGATTCAGACCACGGGTCTGCCTGAACTCCCTTTACCAAAACTAACGAGCTTCTGTATTCTCCCCACTGCTGGTCCCCTGGAGAGCATGGGGGGTGGCATGAGTCTACTCCTCCCTGCACCACTGAAGGAAGAAAGCCATCGAGGGGGAAGCAATTGGAAAATCTGAAATTGCTGTATAAATGCCACTGAATGAATGATAAGATTGCCAGTGTGATGCTCTTCTCCCAGGAAGGTTCAGTGTGTCGGAGGCAGCAAAATGGAAGGAAACAAGTCATTTCCAGGCATGTTTTTAAACTGCCAGCATTGTCACTTTTCAATGGCACGTGGGAGCTGGGATCCAGGTGTGAATGGAGCCTTGGGGTGGGCTGGACTGGCTGGGAGGGGCCTGGAGGCCTGCCACCTTGTCCCACACCTCAGGGCCACCCCTAGTGGAGAGAAGAGTTCTGCGCCAGCTCGTGCAAAGCAGGTTCACTCAGACCCGGGTGCCTGGCCCCAGAAGGATAATATACAGATCGTGGTCTCTTGAGACATGTCTCCCTCATCCATGCCTTTCCAGAGTATCCTAGTGTGTCTCTTTTCTCTCAACACTGCTTGTCTCATGTGCCACACCACCGAAGTGGGTCCGGCTTGAAATCAGGTTGTGCAGTGATTTCCCCTAACTGTGAGCCTTCAGATGGCAGGAACTGGGTCCTGTTCACCTCTCTCTGCAGGGACAGATGCGTGCTGAGTGCTCAGGAAATGTGGGTTTGGTTGTTGACTGAATAACAGCTGCCCTCTGGGTAGCTGGGCCTCCTGCAGAGGGGTGGGCCACTCCAGCAAGGACTGTGGCATCTCTGCATCTCTCCTGCATCCTGAGTATTTTCCTCCCTGTGTTTGTAATTGTTCCTCCTCTGAGCTCCAGTTGTGCTCTCTGTTGGCACCATCCATGCATTCTGATGTTTATCTTTTTATCTGTACATTATCTTTGCAGCTAAATCACACCTTTCTTTGATGGTGGGAGGTGTGGGTTTGTACTTATTTGAGTTGCCAGCACAGAGTGCATGCTACTTGGTGCTCATTGTTTGATGGGGAGGTTGGTAGCTCTGATATTAGTAACCTGCTGCTGAATTTGAGGACAACAGTATCAGCCTCAACTGCAGTGGCCAGCTGCTATAGATACCTGTGGGGCTTGGGGGGAATCGGGGGAGGCCAATATTTTGAAAGGGCTGAGAGTTCCTTGATTGAAATGAATTAAAGAAAGAATCTATAATCACCCCATTCTAGTGCCCGTACCCCCAGACATGGCCACCCCTACCCTGTTCCTCCTAAGACCAGCCCCGATGAAGCTGTGGCTGTGGACTGAGTACCCTGGCTCCATGTGTTAAAGGGCCTTTGGGGCTATGTGCACTTGCTCAGGAATCTCACCATGTGATCTCCTCTTCCTTTAGGGCTCTGGCCGACATCTTAAGACAACAGGGACCAATCCCCATAGCACACTGTGAAAGAGAAACTATCTCGGCTATAGATACCTCCCCCAAAGAGAACACGCCAGTCAGATCGTCCTCCAAAAACCACTACACCCCTGTGCGCACGGCCAAGCCGACTCCAGGTAAGTGTGAGCTGACCGCCTGGAATCTTTGCTGAGGCTGTTGAGAAGTTTGGGGATGTTGCTGCTCCTGTGGGGAAGGTCATGGAGCCTGTGCCGTGAGACTCTCTAATAAGCAGATGAACTTATGAAAGAGTCTGGGGACTGTCCCCTGGGGAGATACTGGCATGGTAGAGATTGCCGCCAATGAATGTCCAGGCCAGAAACATGTTGATTTCGGGCATCTGTGATGTAGTGAGTGGCTGGTGTAATTGTCCTGTGTGAAAGGGAGCTTGTGGTGGTGGAGTCTGGTTACCCACTCGACCACGTGGGGCAACGTGTAGGCTGCCTAGGATTGCTCTGTGACAAGAAATTGCTGCAGGCCATGGTAGAGACTTCTCAACTATTAGCATTTCAAAAAGCACTTGCGAGGGTAGGGGTTATGTCTGTATGTCAGGGTGACCCTTCTCTGTGTGTTAGCAACTCCTGGATGGTTGATGAGCTGCCGTGGAATAACAACATACCTTCTACCCTCTACCTGGTCGCTGCTATAACTGTCTGAAGAAAATGGAGCAGGGCTCATGTTCCTTGTTGTGTGGAACAACAAATGAAGCGCAAGGAAATTCAATGACTTGGACAAGGTCACTACGATGTTAATAGTAGTAAGACATCATTAATGACAGTAATATAATCTCACATATATTGGATCTTGCTCTGTGCCAAAGTATTATGCAGAACATTTTGCATGTATTTCTCACTCTTCACAGCAATCTTCAGAGGATGTATATTGTCTCTATTCCATATGAGGAACAGGACAGTTCAGTAATTTTTCTCAAGGACACAAGGTTGTAAGGAAGAAAGCCAGGATTTAAGCTGAGGCATAAAGCTAACAACAATCAGGTCTAGGAAATCCTAATATCCTAACACAGTGGCAGACATGAGCCCTAAGTATCTGAATGGAGAGACTCCTCACAAGTACAGCTGGAGAAGTCATTTCTCATTATGAGCTTTACCAGACATCCTGGTGCTGACCCCAGTCTCCGACACAGCTGCAGTTTTGATACTTGGGTCTGAAATCTTCGCATCTCTCACCCTTTTCAAAGGATGGGTTATATAGTCTGAACTAAACCTGCAATAAGGATATGAAACGCTAGGTGGCAGTGGGTGTCTTACAAATTCAAAATAATAGTGACTACGCTGTTGGGATCACATTTATTTCTTATGCATCCCTGAATTTTCTTAAATGTATTAAATCAGAAACCACCTACTTGCCTTTAAGGTAATAGCATTAAATCTTTTGAGAATATGATAAAAGTTAAGGACATTCTCCTCAATAAATATACCTATATGTAGATAAATGTATTCATCCAACATTTTGCATAGAATTTAAGGGAGTTCACAGACCTTTCCAAAGTTAGAGTTCCCTGATTTAAAAGGACAGGTGAGAGACTCATCTTTGCAAAAAGTTTAAGATACATTTTTAGCCTTAATATGTGAGCAACAGAAGGAATCTCAGCAAAAAAAGAAAAAAGGAAAAATCACATCTGGGCCAGAGCTATCTACTCAGATGTACTTTATTTTTTTGTTTATTTAAGTAGTTTATTTTTTATTGTATTTTCCAGATGTACTTCAGAATCACCTGGTAAGCTATTAAAAAATGCTGGGGCCTGGGCCCCCCAAAGTAACCAGAAAACGTAGGGATGCTGTTGGCATCAGTATTGTTAAAACTCTCCGCACGGTGATTCCAGCATGTGGGCAGGATGCAGAACCATGGGGCCAGTGGAGTCTCTCATTTTATGAGTGAGGACACAAAAGGACTATGCCAGTGGTTCCCAACTTTGGCTACACATTGGAATTACTTGGGGAACTTTAAAAATTAAGGGGACCCAGGACCCAGTTCCAGAGGTTATGATTTAACTGTTGTGGGAGTGTGGCCTGAGCATGGTAGAGGGTGATGCTTAGAGCTTCCCAGTGATTCTAACGTGGAGCCAAGTTTAAGGCCCCCTGGGCTGTGGGAATGGCACCGAGGTGCCATGCTAACTAATCCTTAAAATCGTTGCTCACCGTTGAACCTAACCTTGGTATTTTGACTGCCTTTGAGTAGGGCATTATCTTTCCCTGAAGATTCACAGCTTGAAGTCAAGCTTCTTCAGAACCTTGTCTGCAATTACAGCACTTCAGGTCACTCTGGTACCCAAAGCATCCTTGGGAGTTTACCTTCACCTGTCTGCTCCAATTTTCTTTGACTCATTGATAAGCCAGCTAGTTGCCAGCCACTGAGTCAAGACTGATTAAGCAGACAGTTTTGATTTGCCTTTAATGCCTTTCACGCAGCAGGAATATGTGTCATTTCTTCTTGGTTCTATGTATATCCTCTCCTCTAGTGATCTGAAAAAGAAAGCAAGCTTAGAGTTATATGATTCATTCTTATGTTTGGAGAAAGCCCTGTTGGTTTTTCTAGGTTAGAACTCTTCACTGTACTTTCAGAAGTGGGGGTTGTTTCTCTGGTCCATGAAGCACTTGAATTTAAAAGCAATTTCATAACAACTCACAATATCTATAGATTATGATGGACACAACTGCTTTTCCAAAGAGCTGATATCCTTTGCCACAAAATATTGCAATTTGAGAAGAATTTAAACAGAACTTTGCCCAGTTGTTCAAAGTGGAGATTGACTGATTTTGCCCTTGACTGTGGTTCTCATATGATCACACCACCAACTGAAGGAGTTTGGTGGTGAGAGGCATTTAGGGGAATTTTAAGGAAGATATCCAGAAATATCAGGAAGCATCATAGCACATGGGTGGCTTTGCTACACAAAATATTCTTCAGGGCGACCCTTGAAGCATCATCTAGGAGTTTGTGAGAAATGCAGACTTGCAGGCGTCTCACCTGCTGATTGCAACCTGTACTTTAATGAATTCAGCAAGCGAAGTTTGAGAAGCACTGGGCAAGCATGGACTCTGCAATGTATCTCCTCAGTTTGTTTTCTGGCCCTACCTGCTGCCTAGCATTGTTTTGAGGAGGTAATGAGTTAAACCAATGACAGCACTTAAACAGGTCCTAATGTGTAGCAAACACTCAGTGTTAGCCATGATGGGTTTACTGAAGGCTATGTCCCAATCAGGGCGAATGAATCAAAATGAGAGAAACAGAGGCATGGGTGCCCTTCAACTAGGCAGGGGCCGTGGGGTTGTGTCTGAAACGAAAGCCCCTTAACCCACACTTTCCTGTGCTTGGCCCTTGCCTGGGGCGCATCCTCAGAGGATGAAAGCGCTTTGTAGGGCTTTGTACCACTTTCTCAGGGTCTTGGACATTGGAAGCACATGCTTAATAGATGTAGGAGAAGATCTTGCCTTAGTAATAATAGAAACAAGGATACCATGAGCAGCACAAGCACCACTGTGGAGTGCCTACTACGTCCTGGGTACTTTATATGTGAGCGCAGGTCCCATATCATTTCTTAGGTATAGAAGCCCCTGTTCCCACTTTGGCAGAACCCTCTTTCCTTCTGTAAAAGCCTTTCATCCTAACTCTTCCAGCAGTCCTTTCCAACTTGAAAGGGAGTTTCCTAGCTGACAGTTACTTTGGATGTAGAAAATCAGAGAAGCCCCCTTTCATGCCCATCCCTCAAATCTGGCTGCCTCTACTCAAAGCATGGCCCAGGGACCGGCAGTGCCTGTATCCCATTGCAGCTTGTTAGAAATGCAGAATCTTGGGCTCTTTCCAAAACCTACTGAATCAGAATCTTCATTTTAACAAGATCTTTAGACAATTTGATTGCACTTTAAAGCTGAAGAAGATCCCTTCATCACAATGATCCTCAGCCCTGGACACACAATGGACTCATGTAGGCACTCCTGAAATACTGATGCCAGGCCCTCATCTCAGAGATTCTGGTTTAATTGGGCTGGGGTAGAAACTGGACATTGGTACTTTTCAAAAGCTTTCCACATGGTTCCATTATTTGGCAAGTAAGAGCTGAAGCTGTCAAGCAAGGAAAATTCCTGGAGGACTGTAGAGCTTGGGTTCACATCAAGACCCATAGGATGGAGCCTGGCTGGTCTGGGTCAGGGGGCATAGAGACAGGTCCTGTCCATGGCAGGCAGGCAGAAGGGAATGGAGGACTCAGGCTCATCTGAGGGCAGGAGTCAGTTTGCAGCTGTGAATGGGGATACCTGGGCAGCAGAGGGCACCAGGAGAAATACTGGAATTGACTAGAGGGCCCTTCAGAGCCAGGCACAGGAAATATACCACATCTGGGGTTGCAGGTCTCCTGAACCCAGGATCTTTAAGCCTTGCAGTGAGCTTACTTGGTGTTTATGGATGGGAGGGTTGGAGACCTGGCCTGTTCACCTAGTCTGACTCTGTGACTCACAGCTGGCGGATGCTGAGGTCCCCATTCCTTGCAGTAGCAATGACATCATTTGTTGAAGGTTCCAAAGCTGATGTCCAGCTTCCCATTATCAAGAGTGGCTCCAGTTGGAGGAAATAAATATTTATGCTCCAGCTACACATCACTGGAAGTTGTATAAATGAGCAATCAGTTATCCTGATTCTTGTCAAAGCCATACGCTTTATTGGCAGACTAAGGGAGCCAAGGGATGTGACTTGAGGCTTTCTGGAGATTGATAACCAAGGCTGGACAGCTGACTGGGGGCGGGCACTGTGTCACACTCCTGTGTGGCCTGGCCCTTCCACGCTTCCTCACCTCAGCCTATTGCCCACTGCATCTGTTGTTGGAATCCAGGCACCCTGTCCTTCCTCGCACCACACATGCTCTTTCCTGGTGGAATTCCCCACCCCCTCCCTGTCCCACACCCTGTGTGGTGGCCAGAAACTGTTTGACTGTGGATGTCCATGCTGTGAAATTTGATGCTCAGACAGCACTACCTTTCTGAACCTCCTCATCTGTGCCTGTCCATCCCCTGCCTTATTTTCTTCAGCGCTCTTACACCATCTAACAACGTATATTTGCTGGTTTGTTGGTTTATTATCTTTGTCCTTTTCAGAATGTAAGCTT